GCAGCCCAGCCCCGGCCCCACCCCTGGGCGGCAGAGGCTTTCCCCTAACCCTGCGTCTTCCCAGGATCCCCGGCTGCAGGGACCGGATTCCCCAAGCGGAGGCCAGAGCAGCGCGGAGACACGCGCGGTAATTACGCCCCCTGCCGACCGTCGCCCGGGGAGTAGGCCGAGAGCTGGCGGAGGCCGGGAAGGGATTCTCCTGGAATCTGCACCGGGAAGCAGTTACCCCGCGTCAACCAGCAGACCCGTTCTACTCCCCGGAAACAGGGGACTGACCCTTTGGGGCTACTTGTGGCTTTGGGCCCTCATCAGTGTCAGAAAGTCGACTTTGTTGTCACTTAATCTCTCTAAGCCTCAGTTTCCCCATCTGTAGCATGGGAGGTGGTCCTGAGGTACTGGTGGGAACCCATGCCAGCTCCGTGCTGGTGTGTCTCCTGCAGACTGCCCTGGCCTGGAGCTCCTGCAGCAGAAGTTGGCCACCCTCCAGGACACCCATGCCTGGATCCTTCAGGTCCCCTCAGAGCGCCTGGCCATGGACTTCCAGGAGGTAGGTCTCTAGGCTTCCCAGACTCCTCCACGGTGGCCTCTGAAGGCAGACCTGGGTCAGCTCTGGTAGGGGGACAGAACGGGCACCCTCCCCAGCAGCAGGGAGGATCTTCACCCCCACAGCCTGGGGGGTCGGAATACAAGAGGAAGGTGGGGGGAGGGCAGCTGTGTGTGAGCTAGGTTACTGGGTGGGTATGAAAGCTGGTGCGGAGAGGGAAGATGTGAGTAGAGGGGCTTAGGGGTGTCCATGTGAGCAGAAAGTGTGCAGGATTGTGGGGTTGAAAGGAAGGGGGTGGGTTTGGGTGAGAGTTTGGGGGGCCAGGAGGAGGGGACCAAGGGTAGCATTGGAGCCCCTGAGCACCCTCCTCCCTCTGCAGGTCCTGGCCGATCTGAGCTCCAAGACGATAACAGAGTGGGTGGCTTGGGGGATGGGCAGGTGGGCCTCAGGGGCCTGGGGGGCCTGGAGCCAGCCACACTGGCTCGAAGCCTTCCCCGGTTGCTGGCGCAGGCCCTGCAGGCCTTCCGCTTGGCTGCTCAGGCCAAGGCAGAGCCCCAGGGAGCCTGGATGGGCACAAGGCAGAGTCAGGAGCTGGGGGGGAAGGGATACCACCCACTGGGCCCTCAGGTTCCTCCAGCCAGACAGCCATGAGCCATGTCTGGACCCCCAGCCTCTGGTTAGGACCTACTGCTTCCAGGGCCTGGGAGGGTTCAGGGAGCACAATGACAAACTGTCACTGCTGCAGTTACCCAGATGTGTGGGGTCCTGGGCCCTGGGCCTCACATGTCTTCCCAGATGTGTCATCAGGAAATCACAGTTGGTTTAATAAATGTTATTTATGATGTACGGAGACAACGCTGGAGCTTTTGTGGGATGGAAACTGGATGGGGGACATCAGCTCTCTGGGAGTGGGGCCCGTGCAGGGCAGGCCCAGCCTCTAGAAGCAGTTGGCAGAAGTCACAAAGACAGGGGACAGGGCTGCTAAGCCCCCATCTGAGCAGACCTGTCTGCCACCCAAGAAATGGCAGCTGATCTGCTTATCACCACTCCCTGATCTGTGGCTGACCAGCACTGTCCACGGTGTCCATTGCCTCCACCCAGCCCTCACCCCCATGGCTAGCTGTGGAGACTCCTAGCCTGGGATCTTTGCCTCATGTCCTTGGGCTTCTGCCCTGCTAGCCAGTTCCTATCCTCACCCCCTCATCACCTGCCCCGGGTTCTCAGCCCTACAGCAGAGCACAGAGGTATCAGATTGCATTTCCGGCTGCCTTTTTCCTCAGCTCCTCCACCCCCACTCTGCACCTGTCCCCTCTGCCACTCACCCACATTCCCCAGCCCAGTGGACAGGAGGAGCAGATGCAAGACCTACTTGGTGAGACAGGATGGAGGGGCCTGCGTTAACGCTGGGATTGCTCGCCACCCTGGTTGTGAGTGGTAAGATTGGACATCATCCCACCCACCCAGCTCCCCCACAGCACAGGGCCCTCCTGTCCCTCCCCCAGCCTCACGGCCCCCTCCCCACTCCCACTGCCATTTCTCCCTGGAGGACCGACCACCAGGGCCCTGCTTCTGGGCCCCTGCCCAGCACCCGTCCTGTCCCCAACTGTCCTCAGGCTGCTGGGGTCTAAATGAGGAGGAGCGGCTGATCCAGTACCTGTTTAAGGAGAAGAGCTACAACAAGGAGCTCCGGCCCGTGGCTCACAAAGAGGACAGCGTGGAAGTCTCACTGGCCCTCACCCTCTCCAACCTCATTTCTCTGGTGAGTGGCCCCTCCATGGCTTGGCTGGGGACTGGAGGGCAGGGACAGTTTCCTTGAGGCCTGGCTCTCTCCTGGACTGGGATGGCCACGAGGGAAGCTCAAGGCCGAGGGCCGGCCTGTGGCAGCTCCTCTCTCTGTGCCCTGTGCTGCCCCCAGACCCTCAGGCTAATACCCCTCCCTTCCAGCTGTCATTCTGGGATGTCCCCCATATCACACCCGAGACACACTTCAGAAGCCTTGTGTCCTCCCTGCTCCCTGCCTGCCCACCCACTCCCGAGTGTTTGGGGTAGGAGTTTGGTCAGGCCAATTGCCATGGATTCCCCTGGGTGGCAGCCAGGAGGAGATGCCTGGTGAATGTGCGCAGCTGAAAGAATGATGCAGGACCTTGGGGACAGCCCTCCTGTTTTCTTACAGAAAGAAGTCGAGGAGACTCTCACCACTAACGTGTGGATTGAGCACGTAAGAACACCCCACTCAGAGCAGGGCTCGGTGAGGGTGCAGGGCCTAGGCTCCCTGTGCCCACTTCTGCTTGGGAATCCCCAGCCTGCCTCAGACATTTTCCTGCGGGAGACACTGGCTTCTGCCTGCAGAGAAACCCCAGCCAGCTGCCCTTGCCCACCTAGTGCAGCCACCAGCCCAGACAGAGCCTTTGGGCGGATTGGGATTCTTCATCTGTGGGAAATGGTCGCAGTATCCTGATTTTATTAGAAGACACCCTCTGCCACCTGCCAGAAGTTCGTAACATTGACATACGTCTTCTACATCCACAATGGAAATACTGTTCCTTTAGTTGTGTAGTGTGCATCCTACACAGCCCTGCATGACAGACCCGAGTCCCCACTCCATACCCACCTCCCCAAACCTCTTTTGTCACAGCCCTAGATGCTGCCCTGTCTTCCCTCAGGGAAGTTGGGGGGAGCGAAGGGGCCAGGACAATAGCAGAACCCACCTCTGACATTCCTGCCCACCTTCAGGGCTGGACGGACAGCCGGCTGCAGTGGGATGCCAAGGATTTTGGGAACATCAGCGTCCTGCGCCTGCCCCCTGACATGCTGTGGCTCCCAGAGATTGTGCTGGAGAACAAGTTGAGCCGCAGCCCTCGCTGGCCTCCCCTCATCACCTGACCCCCTTCCTTAAATATCCTGAGCCTCCCCCTCCAGCCCCAACCTGCCCTCCCTCCTCTGCTTCCCCCAACCTTGCCATTTGGAAGCTGGCCCCTGCTCACTGTGGCCCTTGTCCCTGTCCCCCAGCAATGACGGCTCCTTCAAGATTTCCTACTCCTGCAACGTGCTGATCTATCCGTCAGGCTATGTGTACTGGCTGCCACCTGCCATCTTCCGCTCTGCCTGTCCCATCTCCGTCACTTACTTCCCCTTTGACTGGCAGAACTGCTCCCTCAAGTTCAGGTGCACCCACTGCTCCAACCACCCCTCGCCCCAGGGCACCCTGTCAGGGGCCACCTTCAGGCAGAGGCTTCTGGTCTGTCCAGATTAGAGCTCCCCTCCCCCTCAATGGCCTCTCTGACCCTGGGGCATTTCTCCAGCCAGTGGCTGAGAACCACCCTCTACCACTGCCCTCCCCAGTTCACTCAAGTACACGGCCAAGGAGATCACCCTGAGACTGAAGCGGGAGGAAGAAGATGGCCGCTCATACCCGGTGGAGTGGATCATCATCGACCCTGAGGGCTTCACAGGTGCTGGGAGCAGCAGCTGGCGGGTGGGCAGATGGGCAGGCCCCCAGGACCTCCCCCACAGACACACATACAGTCACACCGACACCGCTGAGACGCACATCTGTGCACCCACACCTGACACACGCACTCACATGACACTAATCCAGCACGCTGAGAGGAAACGAAGTGCGGCTGGGGGACTGTGTTCCAAAAGCAGAGACAGATGAGCACCGTGCCCCACCCCCGCCTCTGCCCAGGCCAGAAGGCTCTCTGGGTGTGAACAGGTCCCTGGGGATGGATGTGGCTGACAGGTGAGGGGGTGCTTAGTCTTTCTGTCCCTCAGATCTTTTATATATATATAAATTATTGATTTCAGAGAGGAAGGGAGAGGGAGAGAGAAATAGAAACCTCAATGATGATAGAGAATCACTGATTGGCTGCCTCCTGCATGTCCCCTACCGGGGATCAAGTCCGCAACCCAGGCATGTGCCCTTGACCAGAATCAAACCTGGGACCTTTCAGTCCACAGGGCCGATGCTCTATCCATACAGCCAAACTAGTTAGGGCCAGGCTCAGGTCTTTTATGGGGTCACCCCTGTCCATCAGAGGAGACCCACGTCCTGCTGATCCATCACACGGGGGAGGGGGTTCTTACTCTCAGAGCCTTGTTATCCCCAAGACTCTATATTTGAGCCACATATAGCCTTAGCTTTCATGTTTTCCAAAGAGAAAAACAAACAAAAAAACTAATCCCAGAGGAAAATTTCTCCCTTGCTGATGGAAACCTTCATCCCAATCCCCAGGGAAAGACCCACAAACAAAACCTGAGCCCTCCTCTGAATGCCCTCCTCAGGGCCCTGCAGACAGGCCTGGCTGCCCCTGGGGGTGACTCACTCCACCAGCTCCTCATCCTGCCCCGAGGCTCCCCCTTACCTGACTCCAAGGTGTCCGTGTGCTGCCCTCAGAGAATGGGGAGTGGGAGATCGTGCACCGGCCAGCCAGGATCAACATGGACCCCAGTGCCCCGCTGGACAGTCCCAACCACCAGGACATTACCTTCTACCTCATCATTCGCCGAAAGCCACTCTTCTACATCATCAACATCCTGGTGCCCTGCGTGCTCATCTCCTTCATGATCAACCTGGTCTTCTACCTGCCAGCCGACTGTGAGCCTCTCACCTGGGCTCAGTGCTGGCCCAGCTCCCAGGCTGCCTCTTCCCACCCCCAAGGTCACCAGAGCAATGAGCACCTAGCCCAGCCTCTCACTTCCTCTTGGGAGCTCCCTGGGTCACCACTGCCCAAGGTCCAGGCATGAGGGGCTTGTTGCCAGCCAGAGGGGGGGTTCTTTGACCCTGTCCTACATCCTCCAAATGAACAGGGTCCCTCCTGTACCCCCCTTCTCCCTCTCACTTTCCAAGGACCTAGACTGCCTCTCAGCGAGAGCAGGAGTCAGGTCTGTCGTGGTCACCACGTGTGGCTGTGGGCACACAGGAGACCATCAGTGGTTGAGTCAATGGAGGTGGGGGTCATGGGAGCTCTAGAGAACCAGGGTATGGAGATGCGCACCCTCCCCCCCTTACCAGTTCTAGAAGGGCACGTGTCACCTACACTTACTCGGCTCTGGACTATTTACTACGAACAGGCACAGCGAGTCCCAGAGACAAATGCCACCCAGCCCTGCCCCTGTTTGAGACAGGGTGAGCGGTGCATTGCACGTAGAAAAAGGGTGCTGGGGCAGGGCCCTGGACCCGTGGCCACAGTGGCCACCACATGGTTTGCTCAGGGCCTGGCTAGGAGTTGGGGTGTTACTCTGGTACTGTCTGTGCAGGAGGGACACAGATCTGTGATTTAGGAGGGCTGAGTGGCAGGGCATTGGCCAATGGTGACAGCTGGTGTTTGAGGTCTTACCCCGTTCCAGGAGGAGTGACCAGCGTTTAATATACTCTCCCACTTGGTCCTCTCAACATCTAACAGTTGAGAAAACTGAGGCACGGAGAGGTTAGGCTACAAACCCAGGGTCACCCAGCCAGTAAGTGTCAGAGCTGGGAATTGAATCCAGTCACTTTAGCTCCAAAGCCTATTATGCTAATTAGGCCACCATGGTATTGTGAACCATGGTGCGAGGTCCACAGTGGGATCCTCTGGGACCAGCGGTCACGGCTAAGTCCGGGCTCCCTCAGGTGGAGAGAAGACGTCAATGGCAATCTCAGTGTTGCTGGCACAGTCTGTCTTCCTGCTGCTCATCTCCAAGCGGTTGCCGGCCACATCCATAGCCATCCCCCTCATCGGCAAGTATGTAACCCCCTTCCTCCCACCACACCCAGCCTCGCCTCACCCCGCCACGCCATACCATGCCCCATACCACCCTGACATGCCATGCCATGTCCTGGATGCTCCAGGCTGAGTGTGTGCCCA